GGTGTTCTGTCCTTAAAACACCCCGGCGAAAGAGGTAACGAATTTAACAATTTTGGTGGATGCCATTTGTGTGTTCTATATATCTATGACATGCATTACACTTCTTCAGAAATTCACGGGATTTCAGCGCGAGATAAAGGGCCTTGAGAGGGACTCTATTTTGATGAGGAGCTTTTTGGGGCGAGTCTTCGGGAACATATGTTTCGCCGATGTTAGAGTATTACGTCCAGCTATGGTGCTCCTGGAGGAAGAAAGATTACGCAGTGTTGGAGAGGGTCCAAAGAAGGGCGATTACTCTAGTCAGGAGCTTAGGAGGTCAACCATATGAAGGTCGCCTAGACAGGCTCCATCTTTTGCCTCTCTATCATAGGCAATACGGAGGAGATATGATCATGGTGTTTAAACTCCTCAGGGGAATAGACTGTGCTCTTCATATCTCTGACTTCTTTGAATTCGCACAAACGACTCATCTCCGAGGTCATCCATACAAACTGAGGAAACACCATGCCAAGCTAGAAGGGCAGGCCAACTTCTCCCACCGGGTCATTGAAGACTGGAATAAACTTCCTTCCTCAGTTGTTCTTGCTGAAAGCGTTGACGCATTTAAAAGAAGACTCGATCTTACTTTACTTGCTGGTCATACATTTGGTAGACAACAAAGATATATATAATGCATATATGGCTTTGAAACACATGCATGATCTGACAGCATCTATCTGTAAATAGGGCTTTCAAAGGCTCTGTCTACCTCCCTTATAAATACCGAATCATAGATAAAGAAGACAGATCCTTATTATGAACCCGAAAAGCGCAAATTAGGGAACATTTGCAAAAATGAAGAACGTACGGCAGCACTACTTCCGTAGCCTTACCAAACATTTATTGACAGAATGATGCGTCTAAGTATTTCGAAATTACCGGTAATAAATATCTTGGGAGAAAAAGGGACGGTCGCATGTGATCCCAGGGACCAGAACAGCATGCTTTAACCTCCCAAAGAGGCAAAGTAGGCTGCAAAATCATGGAAAGGATGATCAAAATGGATAATAGAGCTTCTGGAAGAAATTTTGATTTTTTGAGTGTCCAACAGGCTTTTCGACATCACTACTTGTAGACCAGTTAGTTAGCTAGAGCGTTGGCTGCACTCAAGCCTTCCCTTACCGGCGTGGGTTCGAATCCCACAGAGGCCGCCGAATTTTTCACAATTGGGTCAATTGAATTTACCCTTTTGTCTGTGACTGATCTAACGTCAGTGCTTTCGATTGGGAAGTTTAACGTTTATTTAACTCTGAACTTACCTGGATGTTGCCTATGCTTTTTTGGATGCAACTATTATCTGGATTTCCGCATATGTCATTGGCAAGGCGAAAACTAAAATATTAAGAATTACCGGTTAAAAAGTTAGACAAAAGTGATTTGTAGGCCCCCTCTAGATACCTATCCCCCCGCCCAGATGCTTAACGTATTTTGTGGTCAAACATTTAATTACTGGCTAGCGAGCTTAAATTAATGTGTAATTGTGGCGGAAGTGATCAAAAATATTAAATTAAATAAGATTATGCTTGTGTTGATATGCTAAAATAGAATAAATTCGATCAACACGAACTTCTGTTGCGCAGGTTACGAATGCCAATTAACGAAAATTCGTCCTTATGTGGGCGGAATTTGACGAAAATGGAAATTCGTCCTTCTGTTGGTGGAATTTAACGAAAAAGTTGAAAGTCGGGCTACTGAACATGTCAAAGTAGTTTTTTTTATTATAAGTCGACGGGATTTTTTGGGGGTCTATAATCAGTCCTGCCAAAAGTTATTTTGACTTTTACTGGCTCACGAGTTCTAGCAACTGCTCACTAAACTATTGTAGTCTCAAATTCATCTACGAGAGTCTCGTCACCGATGCAATCGTCTATCCATGATCGCTAATATCGTACGAGGCCAAACACCATGGACTCCCACGGTG